CAAATTTTGGGATTTGAGAATGAGGGAATTTGGTAGCATTGAAATTCAAGAATATAAAATTTCGAAAATTAAGAATTCCATACAAAAATACTAAACAATTCCATTAAACATAATCACCATACTAAACATACCTTAATACATACATATTAAATCTCCCTAAAAAACAGAATTAATTCCCAAATTTCCACTCAAAACCCACCACAATTATTCTCCCTACACCCGCCTTTTTCCACGTTTCCTTTAAACCGAGCCGCATAGTCGATTCTTTAAATCATGATCAATGGCGCTATATCGCGAGCGTCTCCCGGAGGACGCTAGCCATCTCTCTCGTATGAGAGGATCGTGGAAATCTAAAGAAATAATCCTAACGGATGGCCAGCCGCGACGTTTGCATATGAAAGGCGTTCGACTGTGAATCGATACACCTTTATTATTATGCCGGGGCACTTGCTTATCTCTTGGCGATGTCGGTCCCCTTCTTTCTAGAAACTCGGGGGAACTCGGCAATATTTTCCACTTCCGGGCATAAAGGAAACCGAGCCACGAAACAATATGCCGAATCTTCACGGTTTGACCCCTCGTTTGCGTGACTCGCCCCTTTTTTCCCATTTTCTAATTTCGACACGCTATAAATTACGGTTCTTTTGTTCCTGCTTGTGTTCGTTCTTTTTTATGCCTTCTTTCAACCCCTCTTTTAATTTTCTTTTAATTCTCAAATTAAGGGTTTTTCGACTTTTGAATTATTAGTGGAAAATTTTGTGTTAACGGAAAGAATCTTGTAATGAAATTTTAGTAAGAAATTCACAGTAAAAAAGTTGCCTTTACACAGATAAAATTAACTATATTTCTGCTTTTAATGAATTTGGAGCTCCATAATAATTCCTGAAGGAGTAACCTAATCATTAAAAAATTCTAACCGATTTAACAGTGATACAATAAAGCTAATAATAAAATCAGAAAAAATATCGATTAGTGGAAAGTCACTTTGGTAAACGAGGTTCCAAAAAGTGTCTAAAAGCAAAGACGGTGATGCAAGCTGCGTGGTACATGAATATCAGCGATGTCCAATAAACGAATCACGTTCACGTGGATGCCAGCGACAATAGGACACGTAAACAATGAATCCTAAATTAAATTAGAAACCAAGCGGAGGTACGTCAAGCTCATAAGCGATAGGATACCACGCGACAATAACACAATGGAACACATATCGCCGTGTGTAACAAGGTGCTAAGTAGAATAACGAGGCTGCCGGTGGGCGACAGATTTTTCTTCTCCGCCTCGCTGACCTTTCACCACGATTACGCTTGCGTTTATGCTAACAAACGCTCGCGGAATGAAAGAGGGAAATTCCGTGATCCCTCGCGGATAACCTCGTTCCTTACAGTTATCGATACTTCGAAATCTAATGATCGTTGATCAACTTTTTTCCGGGAATTCAGAGAATAATAACATTCGCTGAAAACTTTGCTTCTGATTGGTATATCGAAATAGGGCTCGTTAGGGAACCGCGAATGAGGAAATAACGATATCGATTGACGGCCGCCATTTTTCGGCGTAAGTACCGCGAAATTTAAATGAATTTTAAGGGAGAGACGTTGGTTGTTGTCAATAGCAAGTTTTAGTGATGTATTATTTTGTTTGAATGAAGGTTTATCATGGTATTGTGTTGTAAATATTATGAAATTAAAATTCTAGATTAGTAAATTCTATATTTGTAAATTTCTATGTAGTAACATTTCTGTATTACCCGATCTCTATATTCTAAATCTGCACAAATTAAATCAAATGTCCCAACTCCAAAATTTCTCAAATACCAAATTTCCCAGATCCCATATTTCCCAAATTCCAAAATTCCCAAATCCTAAATGTCCCAAATCCCAAATTTCCCAAATCCCAAATTTCCCAAATCCCAAATTTCCCAAATCCCAAATTTCCCAAATCCCAAATTTCCCAAATCCCAAATTTCCCAAATCCCAAATTTCCCAAATCCCAAATTTCCCAAATCCCAAATTTCCCAAATCCCAAATTTCCCAAATCCCAAATTTCCCAAATCCTAAATTTCCCAAATCCCAAATTTCCCAACTCCCAAATTTCCCAACTCCCAAATTTTCCAAATCCCAAATTTCCCAAATCCCAAATTTCCCAAATCCCAAATTTCCCAAACTCCAAATGTTCCAACTCCCAAATTTCCCAAATCCCACAATTCTCAAATCCCAAAATTCCCAAATCCCAAAATTCCCAAATCCCACAAATCCCAAAATTCCCAAAATTCTCAAATCGATCGAAACACCGCGTTCACCATAATAATTTCGTGCAATCCAACGTAGAGGTGCGTCGAAGTTTCGTAAAATGCGAAGACTTATTTAGCGAAAGTTCGGCTTTAAAACTCTCTGCCAGACTTTCTTCGTGACAAAGATCTCCCCTTATCTCGAACAGCCGTTTAATTAGGACCGCTTTATTTTTCCGTGGCCTTTTGTCTCCGTTTGACTTTTCTTCTCGTTGCTAAATCATTCTGAAACGGCATAATATGGGAGAGACGATCTCGAACCTTTTAATCTCTTACCCCGCCACCTGATGCTCGATCCTGACTGGAAAGTTTTTCTTTTCAACAATACTTTCGAGTTTCTTCTTTCAATCAGGGAAATGTTGCTCGATTTGCCGTTTTATTTAAAACTATGAAATCTTTCGACGTTTTCTTACCTTCACTTCTTTATACAACTCTTGAACTTTTATAAACATATCATGTATTTTTAAATATTAAATGTATAAGGTAGTTTTTGACAAAAGGAAAATGATAACAAGTATTTTAATTTGTAATTTTGATGTGGTTCGGTAGGGACAGTATTCTGACGTTAGATTTACTGAAGTCACCAGTGTTTTGACTGTGACCTTGAACGTTAAACATATGCGCAGTCGATAATGGAAAGCAATAAACATGCGCAGTAAAGTTCAAACGATAAATACTGTCAAATAAAATATAATTGCTCAACTGCGCACGGTTATTACGAACGGTTAACTACTGCGCATACTTTGTATTCAAGACGTTGACTCGTCATTTAGGAACAATGTAAACAGTCTCAATAGCCAACTTTCAAATACATCATACTATATTGCATAAATGAACTTTGAAATATGAGTGTTCATTTGCGTTGATTTTGTACCTGACATTAATTGATAAATTAAACCTAGAAATCGAGAGACCACGTTCTAATAACTCATTTGCAACTTTCGAAAGCAATATGGGAAACTTTTAATCTCAAAGAAAATTAACAACTCAATCAAACCGGCTAAAGAACAAATCGCCCACGATCAAAGCGGCTCTCAAGCAGACCACAAGACACAATCTCTCAGCTACAAATCACACACACTCTTTCCTTTCTAAACCGCAAACATGGTTGCCATAAACGCGACAGTCAAAAAGAAAGATACTCCCGAATGTTCAGACTCGTCGCGGTCTCTCATTTCGTTGCAGACGTGGAACGTTTATTATATCGCATCGCTTAACCAAATGTCTCCACATATCGGAAATGTGATTATGGTTTTAAATAGAGAATAGGACAATTTTAGCAACGTGATTGGTACATGGATTAAACAAAACAGACATTCTGGGTGGCTTGTTACGTAAAATACTCTCAAAATATTGGTGAAGTTGTTGATATAATTGATGTAATATAACAAATTGTGGTTCATCGACAGCTCACTTTGGATCAGAGATGTTCTAAATTGTTTCGTGTCTATTTTTCATCAATTTAAATAAGAACCTCCAGTTGGAAATATATCTTAGAATATACCGTAGCTTAGGAAGCATTTTATATTAACAAGAGGACATCACAAGATTGGAACTGTCAATTTGACTCAAACTGTACATTTATAGACTACACCAAAAGTAATAATTCTGTAAAACCATAGCTCGCAACTCCTCAAAATAAATTAGGGGACCCCTAAATTTCACAAACGTCCTTAATCGTCGCATCCACAATATGTTTCCCAAAGACATCTTGTGTTCACGAAGTTTTCAAGACCTAAGGGTGTTCCGCAAGAAGCACACGCTGAGACCATTGCAATGTGACCGAGAGGGTGTTTGAATTAATAAAAGAGAAAAAAGTCCCACGGACACCCCAGCTCCGCGGAGCGTGAAAAATGGCCGAAAATCTGATATTCCGGATTAAAAACATTGAAATTCAAAACCCGTCGTTCCCGCAGCAACATCGCGAGGGTCGAGAAGTCGTTAAGGGTCAGTTTCAGCCGGGCTGCGGCGGCAAACGATCCACCCCATCGCCTCCACCTTCTTCCATCCCGTCTAGTCTAGGGGATATTATATTTTAAGCCCCCGCAATTTGACACAGCCGCGCCGTTTGAATTCCGAATTCAATCGACGGAGCCGATTTCTATCCCGATTCCGCGAAATTAAGGCGGCCATCGAAAATTGACGGCAGGGCGGCACGCGAATACGTGCGACCCCGCAACGTCGTCCCTCGGGGCTTTGACGAGAAATCTTTTTATTGCGTCGCCATATATCATCCGGCGAAAGATCATGTGGAACGTCCACAGACTGTGGCAACTTATCGCCCGCGTAATCGTCTAGAACCGTGTTGTTCTGGGGTGTCGTGCGAATTCACCCCTGTGCTCGAAGTTTATAAATACGGAACCATTCCCCAGAAATCACAAGACTTGAAAATTGTGGGATCGAGGACTTATAGAAAATGTAGATCGATATTAGACCCATATGTAACTGTAGACTCGATACTTCAGACTAGATACTTCAAAGTCTAATAACATTTGATGTGGCTACCTTAAAGCCTAACAATTTTTAGACCTATCTACTCTTAAAGTCTCCAACTACTCATACCTGAGAACTCTATAACCTGGAAATCCTACAAGGATCCAGACATCCCAAAATAATCACATATGACATCCAACACATGACATATTATATATCTTATACAAGTTAAAACCCTAAACAGCAATCTAATCGCAAGAATATTTATCTGTTACAGAACCAAGATGGCTACAGTGTTCGCAGTGTTCCAGAAGGTTATCCTCGGCATGGGAGCTGCTGCAGCACGTGCAGAGCGTCCACGGCGCGAGACTGTACACCTCCCCGTCGTCGTCGACGAACTCCTCGTCGAACACACCGGCGCCGAGTCCTCCGACGCCGACGCCGACGCACGCTCACCACCTAAGTCCTCCGAACCACTTGAATCTGAGCAGTAAGTCAACCGGAAGTTCGTCGGCTGCCAACTCGTCCGGTGGGACGACGTCGAGCGGCAGCAGCGGGGGACGACAGCAACTCCAATCGTCCGCTTCGTTGGTCGGTGATCCGCTGCACAGTTTTCTAAGGCTACCTCAGCACCTGGAACGAAGTTTCCCGCCGATGTTCAGGCCGGACTTCCTAGCCCTGAATCCGCTGGCCGGGTACAGAGGGCTGCAGGAGCTGCAGACCGCGACCAGGAACATCCAGAACCTGGGCGATCCTCTTCGAGGCATGGACGGTCTGAATCTCGGGGATCCGCTTGTTCGTAGCTCGTTGGATTCCCTGAACAATGCCCGTAACCTGGCGAACCTGGCCGAATTGTCGCACGGCCGCGCACTCGCCAGTCAGGCGCATCCTCCACCACTCGAGGCCAACCTGGATTTTTACTCGGCGCGCCTAAGGAGCCTCGCTAATCCGTCCTTAGGCGCGGCTCCTCCAAGTAGCGGGAACTCCACGACGAATTCGAACCCACCTGCCCCGGTACCGGCCGTGCCCGTGGCGAGTACCGTCCAGCAGCAGCAGCAGTCGCAACAGCAACAACCGCCGGTCCAGAACCATGCTCAACCCGTGCAACCACCTAGCCCAGCCTCGAACAACCCTACGATCTTGACGCACAACAATCACCAGAAGGAGAATTCGCCGCCCTGCTACAACCAGAGCCCGGTCGGTCACCACAACAACAACAACTCGACGGACAGCGAGAAGACGAGTCCGCCGGTGGCGTCCACGCCTATCATCGCCGACTCCGCGTCGGAGACCATCTACTCGTGCGAGGTGTGCGATAAGAAGTTTCGCTTCCAGTCGAACCTGATCGTGCACCGAAGGAGTCACCGGGACAAGGAGAGACAGTACCAGCAGGACAACACGCAGGACGGCCAGACGACGCCCACCAGGTGTGAGATCTGTGAAATGGAGGTGGCGAGTTACGCGGAGCTCAGGAAACACATGAGGAAAGAGCATCAGGAGAATCTGAACGCGGCCAGTCCTCAAGGGAGCGTGGAGACCGTGCCCGACGATGGCTCCAGCTGCGACGAGAATATGGACCTTGATGAAGCGGACGAGAACGAACAGAAGGCCGACCGGGAGGACACCGAGGAGAACACCCCGGAGGATCTCAGCACCACTCAAGGTCAAAGCGGAGAGGAGAGCGGCGGTCGCGTGGAGCAGAAGCCTGCCAGCCTGGTCGGTGACCTGATGGAGAAGTTCGGGTTGAGCAACATCGCTCAGTACTCTGAAGCTTACAGACAGGCGTTGCAGGAGAACCATCGAGGAGGTTTCATCAAGACCGAGCCACCGTCCAACTTGACCAACTCTTTGAACAACAACAAGGAGAAGGACAGCGCCCTGTCACCTACGAACTTCAACTCCTCGACCACGCCCAACATATTCTCCGGCCAGGGTTTTCCAAGGTCTTCGGGGCCGGACTTTGGCGGTCTGTGGCTACCGAATCCCCATTATCTCGAGAACAACGAATTCCGTAAGGCGTCGAAGGCCACCACCTCCAGTCTCGCTCTTCAGGGTCTGCCCAGCCCGCTGCTGAAGAAGGAGCGCAGCGGCAGGAACGACACGTGCGAGTACTGCGGTAAAGTGTTCAAGAACTGTTCGAACCTGACAGTGCACAGGCGGTCGCACACGGGTGAAAAACCGTACAAGTGCGAGTTGTGCTCGTACGCGTGTGCCCAGAGTTCGAAACTGACGAGGCACATGAAGACGCACGGTCGACACGGCAAGGACACGTACAAGTGTCGTTTCTGCGAGATGCCGTTCTCGGTGCCCAGCACATTAGAGAAGCACATGAGGAAGTGTGTCGTGGTAGTGCAGCAGGGCCCCAAGTTGGGCATGCCGTACCCTGGTAGCCAGGACGAGGACTCTTCGTTGAGTACCAAGGACACTTGATCTTGGAACGGAAGCCTACCGCCGATCCCGCCACTGTGGCCACACAGGCCACCCTACCCAGTCTACTGAAGAGGGGATCTTCTTCGGGAGAGAAACAGAGGCAGAGTTAAGCGAAAGGCGAATCCTAAATTGACCAGGAACGATCTTAAACGTACCGTTGGAGGACGATGCCGTCGTCCGAGGCACGCGTACTCTGGAGGATCTCCCTGAAACGTCCACGGTCGTCCTCTCGCGACCAGGAGAGGTGGTAGGTCGGTGCAGACAGTCGACCGAGAGACCTGGAAACGGTCCCAGCAGCAGGAACACGAGCAACGACGAAACGGACCTCGAGAAATTGGATGAAAACCACGAGGGTCCTATCGATCAACGAACCGGAAGGTTCGGCCAAGATGGAGGAAGATGACGAGCAGGGTGCTGCTCGAAACGAATGGTTACCACTTTGCGAGTCTCAGCACAGCTATTTAAACTATTAATCCTTATAAATAGTTATAAATAAAGACGCTATAAATACTGAATATACATATATGTATACATAAATAAAGAGTATAAATATATAAATATATATATATAAAGATATAAATATGAATATAAATATAAATATAAATATAAATACAGAAGAGAATTATACAGAATATAAATATAGTATATAATATATATACATGCATATATATATTATATATACAGGATAATGAACATAGTGACTTTATTATCGCATCTGAAGATTATTTATTTAATAACTATAGATGTATTATATACGTGCATACTGTATAACGTAATATATGTATATATGTGTGTGTATGAAAGGTGTATGTGCGCGTGTGTATATATATGTACATTACGTTATATGATATGAAACAGCTGCAACCACTCTGTACGTAATTTAATAACGAGAGGAGAAAACAGGAAACGAAGGCAGAATCCTTTTTGTACGTTATCCCGAGATGCCGCATTGCGTCGATCGATGATGGCGTCTTTTTTGTTTAAAAAAAAGACGCCGGAAGGATAGAAGAAAAAAAAAAACGTTACATTTTTGTTTCGCGGAGGGAAAGAATAACCAGCGACTTCGTCGATATCCTGTGTGTACATACGCGAGTATCGATACTCGAAATCAACCCTCAACTCCCCCCCGTCGTTACGTATCGATAATAGTACTCGATGTACGTTGATGTGTACAGCGAATGGCCGACAACGGCTCTGCGTTATAGATTCTAAGCTCTAGCTCGATCCTATATAAAAAAAATTGTATAATAATACATTTATTATTCTCTTTATTACCTATTATCTATTACCATTTCTATTATTGCTTATTATTATTATTGTCTTTATTGTCATTATTATTGACTTTATTATTATTATTGCTATTATTATTACTATTATTCATTGTCACTATTATCCGAGCGATTGCAGCGACTGCAAACGCCGTCTTCATTATTTTATCCCGCTATTATTAAATTATTAATCGAGAAGATGTTTTAAACGGTTAAGAAAATGCCAAAGTTGTTTAGGTTTATCGGCGATCGCTGTATCGTTGCGCGCTCGCGCGCATCGAGTGTTCCTCGATTTGTTCGAGGCTTTTGAACTCGTTTTCGATGGAGACGTTTTGAACAACCACCACGGAAACGGTGTCAAAAGCGAATTTCGAACGGCGAGAAAATCGCGACACGCAGAGTCGACTTATTGTGATTGGACGAAGTTGCCGCCATTTTCTCGTTTAGTTTTTATTGAACTTCTGCGAGGGAGAGTAAGAAAAATTATATTTTAGATTCTTCAAATCTGTCAGATTTTTCAAATTTTTCAATTTTTGTAATTCTTTGAGTTTTTAAATTTTGCGATACAACTTTTTAAATTTTTATATTGTGAATTTTCTAAATTATCGAATTATGGAATTTGTAAATTTTTCTCTCTTACAGAAGTCTCACGCGGCATAATTCATTTATTCAAAAATATAAAAATTTAATTTCGTTGCTTTCCAATAATTTCGTCCAAGTATTTCGCCGGCTCTGTGACGTCGTTCATCGCGCGAGCGGGCACGATAGCGTCCCGACGCTATTATAGCGAGTTTGTTCGTTGGTTATATGTATTTATTGTCGTCGCCGAGGATCGCGATCGGATTTCGCAGGATCGAGACGAAGGATCCATCGATCCGGCGAAACTCGTCGCGTCCATCAACGAGGCGCCATGATGGTTGATCGATTTAATATTATTATTATTTTCCTTTCCGTTTTAGAAAGCCGAAGAGACTGAGGTATATTTTGTATTCGCGAGCGACCATTGTCGAAACATTTCCTTATTTTTTTGCGTTCCATTAAATATTAAAAAAAATCGTACATAATTTCCGTTTCTTTACTCTATTATTCTTCTCCTTGCTTCGTTTTCCTAAACGCCTCGTTGTAAACGTTTTTCGAAGGGGACTGTTCCTAAACAAAAAAAAAAATTTTTGATGATGATCTAGGCAATAAGATTTAACGAGTAACTCGAGCGAGATGTGTGTCTGTGTCCCTCGACTCTTTTTCGTTAAAACCGTGTGCGTGTGTGTGTGTACGTGCGGCAAATAAACGAGAGTTTAACGATTTTTTCCCGGTGCGAGTGACAATGAAGAGAAAGAATGTATCCGCGAGAGAGGAGAGAAATGAAAAACTCATATCAAGATAGTTGTCTCGGTGTTAGACGTGTACGGCTCTAGATAAAGAAAAAAAAAAACACTGAAATCTCGTTATCTAGTTAATGATGAAAAGTTTGTTAGATCGATTCCGAAATACGTACATGGCCAGGCTCCGTTTATACGATATTATTGTAAATAATGGCACTGCCCGTAGCAAAAGAGAAAACGAAACACAGAAATGAATTACAGGGAGGTGGACCGGGCGGAGAATAAGGCAGACGAATATCGTCATCGTTCGAACGAGAAATAAAATAAATCATACTAACAATCGTATCCAATCTTTTTTCATGCGTACGTTTTAATCGTGACCAACTTTTACGTCCATTTTGTCGGGACGGTTTACTCTTCTTATATCGCCATTGAGGGTTGACAATTTTTCGGAATAGAATTCCATATTTCATGAATATTCCATATTTCATAAATATGAAATTAATGTGGATGAACATTTCAGATTAATATTCTGAGAATATTATGGTGTGGGTTGAGGTGCGTGGATCTCTCGTTATATCGCCGCATATGGCAAGGGGTAGATAATTCTTATAATTCAATTATTATGAAATAAATACAGTTTGAGAAGTGTATAATGGGTGACTAATGAGTAGAGGGTTTAAAAAGAGTCTCTTGTTATATCGCCATGGAAAGGGATGAAGGGGTGCGAAATTCTTGTAATTGAATTATAATGGGTTGGAGTACTACATGAATGGGGAAAGTAAAGTAATATAGTTGGGAAAGTAAAGGGTAAAGAGAAGTCTTGTTAATTTGGTAATATAAGGAGAGTTTACTGTATGGTACAATCGACAGATGGAATTTTCATTCTTCCGGAGAACTTTTTGAACGTTTAATCCATGAATAATTATTATGGAAATAAAATATATAGATGGATTTGTACAGATAGACTGAGTATGAGAAATTATTATGGGAGAACTGAAACTTTGAATTTACAAATTTTAAAGTATGGAAATTTTGGAATTTTTAGGATTACAATTTCACAAATTTTCACATTTCCCAATTCCACATTCCTAAATTTCCACATTTCCCAATTCCACATTCCCCAATTCCATCTTTCCCAATTCCACATTCCCAAATTCTTACATTCCCCAATTCCATACTCCCAAATTTTCACATTCCCCAATTCCACACTCCCAAATTTCCACATTCCCCAATTCCACCTTTCCCAATTCCACATTCCCCAATTCTAAACTCCCAAATTTTCACATTCCCCAATTCCACACTCCCAAATTTCCACATTCCCCAATTTCCACATTTCCAAATTACCACATTCCCCAATTCCCACATCCTCAATTCCACATTTCCCAATTCCCACATTCCCCAATTCCCACATTCCCCAATTCCCACGTTCCCAAATTTTCACATTCCCCAATTCCACCCTCCCCAATCCCCACATTCCCCAATTCCTACATTTCCCAATTCTCACATTCTCTAATTCCTACGCTCCCAAATTTCCATATTTCCCAATTCCCACATGTCCCATTGCCTACATTTCCCAGTTCCCACATTCCCCAATTCTCATATTCCCCAATTTCCACATTCCCAAATTCCCACATACCCAAATTTTCACACTTCCAAATTGTCATACTCCCATATTTACACATTCCCAAATTGTCATACTCCCATATTCACACATTCCCAAATTGTCATACTCCCATATTCAACATTCCCAAATTTCCATATTTACACATGCTGAAATTCTCACATTCTAAAAGTTTTACATTCTCAAATTCCCACATTCCTAAATTCCTACTTTCTCATTTCATACTTCTACATTTTCTTCCTAAATTGTCATACTCCTACATTTCCACATTTCTACATTCTCAAATTCTCAAATTCAAAAATTCCCCAATCCTCGTCTCACTAATCCTCGATATCACTAAATCATTTCCCTCCCTCTCTCTTAATTTCAACTTCAACTAAACGCACCACACAGTCTATCCGTACAAGTCCCCCCAAAAACCGAAGGAAAGAGAGCTTGCAAATATAGCAAAGAAGAAAGCTGTACGGAACGAAGGCACGTTCGGTTCCAAAAGTATCTCTCGTCTTTCTTATTCGAACTCATCCCACACAGGACCAAGTTCCCTGCCTCACGAAGCGGATAAAATATTAAAAAGAAAAAGAACAAAAAAATAGAAAACACTCGATGACACACGCAAATCTCGCGACGGGCGATCGACTCGGGAAGCCGTCGAACGAAACGGCGAAAATTTCATACGAAAATTAGAATTCATCTCTCGAATCCAAGTGATAAAACGAGCATCGACCCGTCGTTTCGTTCGACCGCTTCCGTGTTCGATTTCTGACGTTTCTACACAGGGTAAACCGCGTTAAAAAAAAATGAAGATAATCCCAGAGGAAAAATAATAAAAAGAGAGACAAGCGTGTCGGAAGTATAGCGAATTGAAGTATCTAGACAGTTAAATAAAATAAAGGTAAATAAAAGATGAAAAAAAGTAATACGAAGTATTTCCTATAATATATAGTAAGCGACAGGAAGTGAGAGAAGACGCGAGATTCGAAAGGAAAGGTAGCGAGGTGTCGGTAGCAGGGAAATTGGATTTTTAGCGAAACAAAATCTTCTGATCCAGGGTAAAATAATCCGAAGCTCGGTTTCTAGAGGCAGTATCTCGCTGGGTTTCGATCTGGCTCCTGGTTTCGAGCAATTTTAAGAAAACGAAACGAAAAGAACAAACCGAAGATCGACATTAAGGCAATACGAATAAAAATAAAAAAAGAGCAAGGCGTCCCCGGGGGCAAAGTCTGGAGAAATTAGGACGTTCGCGTTTTGCCAACTTTACCACCGGGATGTCCGTAATTATTAAACATAGCAGATACGGTGTATGTCTTGTGCGATTCAAATAAACCACATTGTTTTTAAATAATATCGACTCTTTATTGAAAGTACCCTTCATCGTCCTCTTTCAAGAATATTTGTTCATACATTTTTCAATTTTTATTTTTTAAGTTTTTGAGCTTTCAAGTCGTCAGGTTTTTATATTTTCAAAATTTTTAATTTTTGAAA